GTGCACAAGTGATTGCTGCAGACCGTAGTGCTGTGATGATTTTGGCAAGCCTGACTGCTTCTGACGAAGCATTCCAACTCATCGCTACGAGCCTCATCTGAGCCTACCAAGACATGGCCAGCATGCATTGGTGAGAATTGGCATGTTTCATTCCGAAACTTGGTGCACTGATGCTCTATTGCTAGTTGCAAAGCAACATTTAATGCTTCTAGAGTGTCTAGAGACTGTAGTCCACTTTACGGAAACTCATAGCTACGCCATGCTGAATGTTTGTGCGCAAGGCATTGCATGGTGAATTTCTTGGCTCAGGTTGCGTGCACCTTCCATGCCCATGTCCACTGACTACTCCACCATGTTTGTCAGTGCCCACAACCAATGACGGACATCATGACTAAACCACAGATTTGTGATTCGGCAGTTCTCTTGGATGGCCTACAGCTGCATCATTCCGCCACGACAAGGACAATTTGGATTGGTGCAAGGTGCTTCTGGCCGCGTCAAATTCCAGAAGCCTTGCAACAATCCAGATGGGCCCATTACTGCAAGGCACTGCTACCGCTCAAGACCAAGACAAACATTCTTCCTGAATGAACGACCGCTGGAGGCACGCAGTTGCCAGGCAGGTCTTGAAAAGATCCAAGATCTACTGCTGACCAAATGGAAGGTACAGTTGGCTGACGCCTCTTCAGGCACCAGCTCAGGCAGAGCAGCAGCTGCGATAACAGAAAAACAGTGTGGAGAATGACGGGCTCCACTTGGAACAGCAGCACTGCCATGGCAGATATGGCAGCTATGGGTTCCAGCTGCAGCTGCAGCAATTTAACTTGTAGCTGAGACTCTTTCATTAAAGAACAGACCAACTCAGTACAGCCAGAACAGCTGAAAAAAAGAGCTGGACAAAGTCTTTGCACAGAAGTTGCAGGCCCAGGTGCAAAAGTATCGTTATGACTCGGCTGAGCAACGTTGCCTAGAAGAATGCGCGCGGTGGCACTGTGTGTCAAGGCAGAGGCAAACTTCTTGCAGCTGGAGGAAAGTAGTAGGCTTGAGACTCACCGAGAAGGAGGCACTGCAACAGGCGTAGCGTTCCAAATCAGCTTTCGAATCTCGAGGAATGCTGTGCACAGCCGCACAGCTTGAAAAAGAGGAAGATCTTCAGTGATCTTCAGAAGCTTTACTCCAAGGACAGCTCTCCAGCGATTTCGCAGCCTGAGGCAGACAAGCCGTTCGTTGCAAGTCCAGAAGCTGCACCAACATGCACCAATGAGCGATTTCGCAGCAAGAGCTGTTTACTTCACATGTTTTCATGATCCGCTCACCGGGCTATGAGTCTCAGATCGCGAAATTGAAGCCTCAGAGCGAAGGCTCCTTCGTGAAGTAGACAAAATTCTTCTGGTTCAGCCACATAAAGGGTACAGTGTTGAAAATACGCTTGGAACCTGGAATGCTTCACGCTACGCTCTCTCCTATAGGCATCAGTGTGAGTTAGCATGCGTAGACACACAGAACGACTGACCCCTTCTGGCCTGACTTCTTAAGCTCCTTGAGCGTCCTCACTTCGGAGCTGTCCGTCATCGGGGCGCCACCGATGGAACCTAAGATGTCTTGCAACTTGCAACACACCTCTCTGGCAAATCAAGCCGCCTATGTATACTTTCTTCCGAACCGTTGGACAACGGAAATCGATCACGCATATTATGGACAAGCTATGATTCACCGCTTGTCAAAAAAACCTTTTCATGTGTGAAGGTTCCGCAGGGGTGCACATGCCCTCGCCAGGCCAGGCCGTGTGCTCCCCTGCAGTGTTTTGCGCCACTTGGACTCCTCAATTGAAGAGCTGCTTGTTCTTCACAGCTTTAATCGCTTTGTTCAACCCAGGATAGTTTGCAGAAGAGCATTTGCAGAAATCTCGCAGAAGAGACCGGCGGATGGTGAACCCACATGGTTTTTGTCCTACCTTGAGGAACTTGCTAAAGATCCTAGTCGCGTGACCTGAGAACCATTCCAAGATTGCCCTACATAAAAAAGTCGATCTGGCTGATTCTTTCTGGCTCGGGACAACAGAATCTCCTTTCTAAAGCTTTTAGTAAGCGTTCTTGTGGCACCGTGGCACCCTTGTCCGATCAGATTGGAAGGAAACTAATCCTTTTGACCTGCGCCGGGCAAAGCTGCTGATCTTGGGGTCATTCGGCTGTGCCTGGCTCCGAATGTCAGCTGGTTCATTTCTTCCAGGGTCGTCCAATCAATGCTACCCAGATCCGTGTGAAAGGCTGCCACTTTGTCTTGTGAGTGGTCGGAGGGAGGAACGCGTATGGTTGGGACTGCTGTACGGCAAATTGTAGGAGGACTTGTGGCCCCATTTTAGCAATTGAAGACTTTTCTTCTTTGTTTTATCAAGGCTTGGGCATTTGCTGACCTGCCCAGTCAGCGGCAGGACAACAATTCCAGTGTGCAAGAGTTCAAAAAAAGTGCCTGTATGCTTCTTCAGCAGGCCATTTGGTCAGAGCGTTGTACTGAGGCATGCTAAGATCAGGCGTTGCATTGATATGTGCACACGCTATCACATGCTTGCATCGCTAGTTTCTGGTTCGCTCTTTGAACTCTGAGGAGAGTCCAGAGTGGGGGAGAGCGATTTGGCACATCTCTGCGAGCAAGCCAAAGAGCTGTCGCAGCAGTGGTGGTGTTCTTCTTAGCGAAATGACCAGACCTCTTGGCTACAGCCTGGCTACAAATGATTGAACTCTGTGGCACGTGTCAGGGCATATTTTCTGATCCAAGCAGGAGCAAATCGTACCAAGGCCTAGTCTCCAGAGAGCGCTTCAAAAGCAGGGCTGGTCTGGCACTTAGGCACTCAGAACAGGTTCACTAGATGCAGACGTTTGGGCATCAGGTCCAGTTCAAGAAAGGATTTGTGTCACCCGGAAGGGAGTATGAATTGTGTATATGTATATACATAAATAAAGTACCTACCCGTTAAGGTGCATAATGAACAGGTACACTCGCATTTTCAGGTCCAGATGTTGGGTTCTCTAACATGACCTAATCAGGCAAACTGATGTGGTTTTCCTGGACGCCAAAGATGAGCGAGTTGAGATTGAATTGTCAAGTCAATCTTTTTAAATCCCGATGTGAAGATTTTGACGGCCACTAGGGATTTGCTGCTAAATGGCAGAGATCAGCGGCGGCTGGGAAAAGAGCGAGCACATCGCTGGGTCAACACCTGTAGCTAGAGACCTGACTCCAAGGAATTCAATTGAAGATCAGGTCTCTAGCTACAGGTGCCAACACAACGAATGCTCTTTGACCGCTGCATAGCATTGCTATTTTAGTCATTTGTGAGATATGAATTGGTTGCTAACAAGTCAGCAGAGGATCTGGTGGTACTTTGAGTAGATAATATCATGATGCCAATGCAGATTCAAATCCAAGTCCAAAGAGTACGATGTGTCAAGCCAAACATGACCGGACAGGTTGCAGCGCTGGCTTCTGCTCCAGTTTGGCATTTCTCGACGAGTGTTCTTTCCTTTGGTGTTTTGATGCTTTGATGGTGATCAAGACCGCTCCATACCTCTCCAAATTATTTTTCTGCACTCAGTGCAATCCTGCGACTTTCATAACAAGTTTGCCCAGGTTGCTAGCGTGAGGGCCATGGCAGGCTGCATTTTTGGCCCATCCGAGCAAGAGCAGAGCTGCCAAGAATATTAGCCAAAAGCGGCTGCTGCTAATTTGTGCGTTTGACTGCAGCTGCAAATGCAGGCGCCATGCCTGTGAACCAGGATGCACAGTGCTTGCGGACGGCTTTAGATGCTTTGAGCCTCGCTCTCAGACTTCGGCGTCTCCGCTTGGCTCGGCAGCGGCTCGACGGCCGGCTCGACGGGCGCGTGGCTAGGCGTGGAC